CACTGTGTGTTCAGGTCGTGATGGAGGTGGACATCTCCCATGAGGACATCATATTTGACCTGTCTTCTCCTTACGTTACTATTTCATCTCATGTACAATTTTGTTTGCTCTTTTGGCAGACTGTAGACATCCTCAATCTCTTACCTGGCTTTGTATTTTTGAAACTCAACCTATTCATTATATTACACGGCTACTAGACTTAAACACTTTATAGAATCGTTTGAGTTAAAAGGGACCTATAAAGGTCATCTAGTCCAACTCCCCAGCAACGAACAAGGACATCTCCATCAGGTGCTTATAGTCCTGTCCAGCTTGACTTTGAATGTCTTATTTTCCAGGACTTAAACCTACAAAGTTGTTAATTCATCATCTTCTCCTTAGACTAGGACTGCTTCACTGATGTCACTGCTGCTCTCAGATGAGCAGAATTAGCACAGTAGAAGTTTGGTATATTCATCATCTACAGATGTTCATGGTGACTGTGTCCTATCGGAAGATTTATAAAGCCTTCTTTCCCTCCTCTAGAGAGCTTTCCATAAAAAATATATCTTCTGTGTCACGGGCAAGTGGCTCAAAAACCCTGTGGAATCAAGGCTTCACTAGAATTTTGAATTAAAATGTTAATAAATGAGAATTGCATTGAAACTTTAGCAGCTTTCTGTCCAGCCGTGTATTGTTCTGATCTGTGCAAATCATGCTGACTTAGGCTCTAAATTTCTGTAGAAGATACTGTGCTCTATCTAGAGAATGGTCTTTCTACACAGAGGAAGGGATTCAAGAAAAGGGTCTGTAGAGAGAGCTATAGAATAGTGCAACATTCTTATCTCCATGGTCCCCATGTTTAGCACATTTTTGTTCACAGCCCAGGCTTTTCTCTCAGAGGTTGTGCTGCTCCAAACACCATCTACTCAATTATTTAAAATTCAGTTGCTATGGATCTACTCAAGGTGATCAGTTTAAAGAAAATGCAGATGGCCTCTGGTTTTGAGTTCCCGCTGCGCTTTGGTTAATTTGGTATGTAAAGGTATTAGGTTAATTAAATGCCATGTGTTGCATGGAGACTGGCTGCATTTGTGGATTAATCGGCACCCAAGTGTGTTCTGTGCTGGTTGTCCTCAAACTGACAGCATTTTTTTTTTTCACTAAGAAAGTAAAGAACCGAAGAGAAGCCAAGGGGAAATGAAGAGTTTTTCTGTTAATCTTGCAGTCGTTTCTCTGGCTCTGGTGTTTGCAGTGTCCTTCAGGTCTCCGACTAAGCTTCACTCCTTACTGCAGAGGCTGCAAGAATTTAAATGAAGAGAAGAAAGTTGTTCACTTTGCTTTGAGGATCCTACAATATTGAGTTGTACAGGGCGAGTATGACTGGCGGATGGAAGTTTTTATACTAGAAGATCTTTATCAAAAGCCAGATTGTGAATGAGGTCAGTGGGTGCCTTACATGCAGCAGGCATGGTCATGCCAGAGGTCTGAAGCAAACCAGCCACATCTCTCTGGCATTCATGGTGGAAAAAGTATAGAAGGCAGAGGGCGGCAAACACAGCTGCAAGATTTTGGAAATGCTGAAGAGAAAGAAAGTCGTCTTCATGCAGCCATGTGCTGAAGTGGTGGAAGATCAGGACAGAGACCAGGGCAAATGGACACTGCTCCGCAATGTCAACCAGGCCGTGAAGCCTACAACTATTCTAGCGGTAAGATAGGGGGTCCCAGGCTACTATTAGCATGGCTGGGAGCTTTTAAGCTACTTTGAACAATAGATCTCTCTGTCTGATTACATCCTTCAGCTTCTCTCACCTTCCTCCTGAGCCTTTGAGACCCCCATCCCAGGTGCTGTTGCTCCCATGGTGCAGCCTTGTTGTCCTTGCACTTGGAAGCCCCTCCTAAAGATCCTCTTTGTTAATTGAGCTGATCTCTGTGTGCGCCCATCACGGTGCTCCCTCCTCTTGCCCCACTCTTTGACTGTTATTGCCCTTAGGTTGTGAGGTGCCAACAGCAGAGTCCACCAAGCCTTTGGAAAGGCTCTAGCACCTCATGGCTGCTTTGGGGAGGAATTGTTGGAACATGGGACATGGTTTAGTGGGCAATATTGGTGATACATGGATGCTTGGACTAGATAATCTTAGAAGTCTTTTCCAGTCTTAATGGCTCTATGATTCTAAGACTCTATGTCAACACTGTAAAGTGCTTGGTGGTATTTTCACTCTTTTATTTCTTGTTTTGGAAAATAAACAACATTACGCCAGGCATGAGGGAGGTTATGCAACTTACAGGCCAGTCCACTGGAGCTGATAAATGCATGAATCACCCTGATATACCCTGAAATCCCCAATATATTTGCTGTTATTTGGGCTGATCCAAAAGTGGTTGCATTAGTGGAAGAAATGTCAACTGACTTTCATGGGTTTAACATAAAATTCATTAAAGTGGAGAAAAGAAATAGGTCGCCAGTCTTAAAAGTGATGTTATTTTTTAACCCAACCGGACCTTCCTGAGCTTACCAGCTTAGCCCATCCCATAAGACTTGTGTTGGGTTTTTTTTTCCATCAGTATTAAGAATGGCATTAAAATGTGTTTAGAAGGAGTATTTTGAGGGGACAAGCAGCCTGTGCATTAGGTAGTCAAAGCACAGGAGTTGTCCTAGTGGTAGTACAGGATCAATTTACCTTGGGGATAGCAGACTGCCTTTTTATCTTAGTTGTGTAACAGAATATATGAAGCAGGCTGCCTTTACAACTTTTTTTTTTTTTTTTTTAAGGGAAAAAAAGCAATGTTACAATTTTTTGTTTTCTTGATCTAGAGCAATTTTTACCCAGCTGATGAGGTGTGTCAGAAGGGCTTTCTGCTGAGCAGGGACTGAACTCCCCAGCTCTGCTCTTGCTGATACCTTGATCAAGTTACCTACCTTGTGCATGAATTTGCCCAGCTCTGCAGGTGAGATAATACTGCTGAGCACTTTGAAATGCTTTCAGAGTCTTGGATCAAAGGAGCTAAGAAATAAATATTAATATAAACTGATTTATAATGTATGTGTGCATGACACTGTTTTCATATGTGTGGATTCTTTTCCCTTTTAACCAAGTTATGGGATGTGAGATAAGGCAGTTAATGAGAAAAAGATCAGATTATATTTGTTACAAGTTGCGTGAAGATATTTATTGAAATGCTGTAGCAGGACTTTCTGAGGAAAAGGAAACACAAAGGACCAGATCCTCCCTGCATGTAAGCATTGTGACTGTTAATATCCAGGTGAAGCCTAGCAATCAGCTTCCAAGGGTGGGAACCACCTCAGAATGGCTGTGAATCATTGTGTGTATCATTTCTCTAGGTGTTGATCCCTGGGTGTAACCTGACATCACTGTGACAGATGTGTAGTCTGGGTAGTGGCAGGCAATCCTATCTGCAGCAGTGGTATGGAACTAAATGATTGTTGAGGTCTCTTCCAACCCACTGATTCTAAGATTTAGGAGAAAGTTTTTCACACAGAGGGTAGTGGCACACTGGAACAGGTTGCCCAAGGAGGTTGTGGATGCCCCATCCCTGGAGGCATTCAAGGCCAGGCTGGATTTGGCTCTGGGCAGCCTAGTCAAATGGTTGGCAACCCTGCGCATAGAAGGGGGGTTGAAACTAGATGATCTTTGAGGTCCTTTTTAACCCAGGCCATTCTACGATGAAGTCCCTCTGAGCAAGTATATGTTGGAACAAGCTTCATGTTGCTATATGTCTCCAATTCCCACTGCCTGAAGCGGAGTTGAAGGTTGGTCATCCATCCATGGGGTCAAACAAAATCTATAAGCACTCCATCCACAGAAATGGTCAATAGTGGCTGTTGAGAAAAGAGGCTATAACTGCATATGCAAAGGGATCCTTTCAGTTGTTTGCTCTCCTCTCTCCTAGTCATTTTTCAGGACTTCAGAAAATAGATACTACTGTATTTCCACCATGCTTCATAGGTACCAGTGGAGCTGGCCTGCAGGAATATGGCATTAGATGGGTGTCTTGATCTTAGAAATTCACAATGTCAAACCCAGTTGCATGAAAAAGTACATTTTCTTGGTTGTTGCAAAGATTACTGATGACAGTTGAGGTGGAAAACTGATGATAAATGAGGTATTAGGAGAAATTTCTTCTCAGAAAAAGTGGTAATGCATTGGAATAGGCTGGTCGAGGAAGTGGTGGAGTCGCTGTCCCTGAAGGTGTTCAGGAACCACGGGGATGTGGCACTAAAAGGACATGGTCAGTGGGGATGGGTTGGGGATGGGCTTGGGAACCTTAGAGGTCTTTTCCAACCTTTATGATTCTGTGATAATTTAACTAAGTAGCTCCCAAATGTAGCACCTCATTCCATTGACGTTAGGGATGGGAAATAATTTTGCCTTGTTTCAAAGAGTCCTGCTTGGGATTTTAGTTTTGGGTTATTTGTGGTTTTGCTTTTTGCATTGGGGGAAAAAAAATGATGGAAACCTTTTTTTGCATTCATTTAATACCTACAAAGCTGAAGAGCAGATAGTCCCTGCCCAGCAGAACTGACAGAGGTTTATAGGATGACCAATGACACTATGGGTGGGTAGGGATGAATAGAGGTTAACTTTATACTCCAAAACAAAAACAAGTTCTCAAATGAAGCAAGACATTTCTGAAACACACAAAAGGACACAGATTGTCATGCTGTCACTAAACTTTTCCTTTGAGATTATGGTTGCCAACGTTTTTGCACAGCTTCAGGAAGGAGCCAGACACACTCACAGTAGACAAAAAATACTGAGAAATATTAATGCAAAGAGCCCACCTACAAATTTCTGTAGCTGGAAGACCTCCTGGGGAAGTGTCCCTACCTCCAACCCTACTCCCACAACCCATCTGTGAAAAATGGATGATACATGGTTTGCAAAGAAAGCCATTTGACTTGTACCAATGTCTTGGGTAGAAAACTTCAGGATCTTTTCTCCCAAGAGATTCTGAGCCTTATGCAGCACTAGACATAACAGTCTTCTCTTTGTTTGCAGGGGGATTATGTGTGGATGGACCTCAAAACCGGTCGGGAATTTGATGTCCCCATTGGAGCGGTGGTCAAACTGTGTGACTCTGGACAGATCCAAGTTGTGGATGATGAAGGCAACGTAAGTATGAAGGATTGTGGTTGCTCCTCAGCTCTGTAGCTGTTGCGGGCACAGGTCCCAGGTAGTATTAAATGCATGAACTTAGGTTGTATTTGAAAGCCAAACTTTATTTGAATCTGATTAAAGGTGATGGGATTCTCTCCATTAATATCAGCAGATATTAGAACTGGGCCATGGCTTCAGAAGCAGTCCCACCTCTGAACCAAACTCTTGCCAAATAGAGACAGCACAACACTTCAATTCAAATATAGTAGATCTAATTTTGCTCATTCCCATTGTTTCCAGAAACTTGAAGAAAAGGGCTTATAACAGGAGATTCCTGTTGACTTTTGTCACAGGCTTCTCATGTGTCCTTGGAAGCTAAAACTGTGTCTCTACCTTTGTGGCTGTACTCGGAGTGAAGTAGTGAGACGCTTCTTGAGTACAACAATGATTCAGTCTGTTTTAAGGGAACATCCATATTACAAGCAGAGAGTGACCTGAGGATGTTTTTTGTCCTTTATCTCTTTTGATAAACCTTGGTTCAGTTAGATCCTTGTGTCCAGTTTGTAGTGACTTTTTAAGTCCTTTAGAATTGATCAGTCTAAATAGAATTCCATCAATAGATGTGTGATTTACCACCTCATGCATCTCTCTCTGCTTTTTCAAATAATCTTTTCTATTCTTAACAATGTTTTGCAGCAAAGGGCTAACGAGTGATGTGGAAATGTAGTTCTTTGAAAGGAAGAACAAATTGTTATTTGTTAAAAACACCTTTGACCTGTTGGATGTCCATGCTGCCCCAAATTATGCTCCTGCCAAGATGGCTAATGTCTCATGTCTCTTGCCACTCTAGTAAACCAGAAGATGTTTTCCTTCTTCTGCTATGAATCTCTCAAATGACTCCTTGACATGTCTCAGTGATAGAAGCTATGGTCTGTGTGCTATTGCTCTCCCATGCATGCTCTTCTACTTGGTCCTTCTGCCTAGGACTGTTTATGCCCCTTGCCCTAGCAGTTTCCATTTGACTCATCTTTCCCTGACATCGTTCTCTTCCCAGGAGCACTGGATTTCCCCGCAGAATGCCAGCCACATCAAACCCATGCACCCCACCTCCATCCACGGAGTGGAGGACATGATCCGGCTGGGGGACCTGAATGAGGCAGGAATCCTTAGGAACCTGCTGATCCGCTACCGGGAGCATCTCATCTATGTGAGTATCTACCCCATCTCCATCTACTACTCTGCACTGTATTTCCAGCTCTCCTTAGCTCTTGGAAACCCACATGGGTTTTTCCCTTATTTAAATAAGCAACCAGGTTTCTAGGAACCAAATAGTTGAGTGTTTCTGCACTGGTATGTTGGTCTTCTGTGGAAAAATCATTGCAAAATTTACAGTTGCCCCAGGGGAAGCTGGAGACCCTATTACATGTGATGAGCAAAGTCCCAGCCACCTCTCTATGCAGCCCCTGTTGAAGTTTTTGGAACACATGTCAAGTTTGTGCACATACAGTAAACAGTTTAACCCAGGCCACATGCAGGGTGTAGTAACCATAAAGAAAAAAGACTTTGGTAACTGTAAGCTGGATGTGGCCTTTCTGCATTTTCCCAATGAACTGTTAAGTCAACCAACCCACATGGCTGAAAAGAGCTATTGCTGGAGGTACAAGGACTGGAGAAAGGATGAGAAGATGCACATAGGAATAACCGTGTACTATGAAGTGAGCAGCTCAGAGCAGAGCTCTAAGGTACCTGCCCATTTGTGTTTGTAACCTCTGAAATCCTGACAGCTGAACTTTTAGGACAGTAGTACCTCTCCTTAGGTTAGCTTGGTCATGTAACAACCAGTGGGCCCACTGCAGCTTTTCCAACCCAAACAGACATTCAGAAATCAAGGTTTTTATGGGGAGCCAGCAGGAACTGAGCCACTCTTCTGTGACAGCACCTCAAAAACCAAATAGGACAAGAGTAAGCATTCTACTCTCTGAGTTGGTTTTTTTTCAGTATGCTATATACAGGATAGTCTGGTGCACGTTCTGGTGATGGAAGAGAGGAAAGTGTGTGCTTGCCACTAGTAAATGAACTCAAACAACTACGTAATATGATATTATTGCTGGGTATTTCTCCCATGTTACAGTTTTCTGCCACTCAGGTGAGTACCTGCTGTGCCTCTGAAGGCCTTTTCAAGGCAACCTGGAGATCTACTTTTTAAAAGGCTCTAGAGATTACTAGTTTTTGAGGCCAGAGGGAATTGCAATGAATTCTGATCTGCTAGACAGCATAAACTAACAGACCATACATATCCTTGATTTTTTTGTATCAAGTCTGCTTGTTCTGCTTGTTGTCCAGTGCCTTTTTAATGGACTGTTTTGGATTGGAGCTGGGCAGTGATGGAGAACACATCACCCTGTTACAAAGGCTGCTGAAATGGTTGACCACCTATTCTCTCATCCCGACTCTACAAAATGAATTCCTTCTTTCATAGCTGAATTTCAGTTCTAGAGGAAGAGGACAAAGCTACTAAAAAGACACTCCTACATTCCCAGAAATGGAAGAAATACAGATTCCCAAACGCCTTTCTCACTAAAGCACCTTATTTGGTGCCTTATGTTGTCAGTTTAGAGAAAAAGGTATAATGAGAAAATAATTCAGATGTTAGATGAGCTGAGTTACTCCCTGAAGCCCACTGTTAGGGGATCTCAGTTATTTATAATGATAAAATAGCAAAAGTTAATGGGGCCAAATCTGTAGTTGAAGTGTGCACTGAGCATCCATGATAGTCACCAAAGGTATTATTGCAGCCAACAGATCCAAGACTGCCTTTTGGCTGTCTAGATATGGGTATCTGGTGGATGAGGTGAATTGCTGTAGAGCTGGGTAGGGCTCAGATATCCTTGAAAACATTACGTTGGAAGGAAAGTTAGGGTTGGACGTCTACAGTCCAAATTCCAGCTCAGCACCTGTCCACTTTCAAAGTTTGATGTCATACTCATGTGAATATTGAATTCAGGCAACCTGGATGCCACCCAAGATGTACAGGTAGCCAATAGTTTGAGGTGATTGACTTGTTCACAGAACAGGCTTTTCATATCTGTTCAGCATTACCCCTTTTCTTCTGTTTCTGGACACCCTGTAGTGGTACCAAGGAAAATCCCATGTGTCTCTCTGTGAGAAATTTGGGATCATGCTGGATATTTTTTCAGTGGTGTCTGTGTATCTCTGCTGGGGGTCCCTAAGCCATCAGGCAAATGTCTGTTGCCTTGCTAAGTGAAGTCCTTGGATAAGATTTCACATGTACAATACCAAACTGCCCACAGATAAAAGCTTCTCTTTCACAAAAGCTCTGCCTCTGAGCTCCCTCACTGAGCCATTCACAGGCATCCAGGGAGATTATGAACATGAATGAATGATGTTTGGCAGAGTCATGCTAACAAGTGCTAATGCAAAGGGCAGCTGCTAACCCAGAGGTGAGATTGGGCAGTGATTTGGGTTGAGTAATCCGTGAACAATATGGCTTTTCCATGAGTTCTTTGAGTCTGATGGTGTCAGAGCTAGGTGTACTGCAGGGCTGCTGTGTAAGGAGTGCCCATTTGCCCTGATCTAATTGTAACTGATCACTCCACCTGCCTTCACAGCACCAGGTAAACATTTCCTGGAGTGTGTTCATCTGATTTTAGGATGCATCCAGAGCTTGAGTTTCACAGCTCTTTGGTTTTCTGAGACTAAGGTACATTTGGTTGTTATCTTTGCAGTAAGTCACACAAGTACATCATTGGAGAAGAGCAGTTTAAAGGAGCTCATTTTCTCACCAAATAATTTTAGCAGGTGGTTCTTTACTAGGTTTCTTTGTTACAACCTATTCATAGAATAATGGAATGATCTTAGAATCACAAAATGATTGTATGATAAAATGGATAGGTTGTATTCATAGAATACAATGGAATCTGTACAGAACAATAGAACCCACTCCTTGGGCTAGTCCTGCTCCATACAGTAAACCAGTTGCATTTGCATCAGAGGTCCCAAGTTACTGTGCTTTGATTACTCCACATCACTAATGGCTTTGAAGTGGCAGCATGTGATCCTGGGCACCACAGAGCAGCTAATGTAATGTCAGCATCAGAATGGCACTGAGAATCATAGAATCATTTGAATTGGAAGGGTCCCTTGAAGGTCATCTAGTCCAACTCCCCTGCAATGAACAGGGAATGACATAGAGCATGTAGCTTGATAGAGATACATGCAAACCAACCCTGTCTATGTGAGTGTTATTACAGGGTCAGGAATTCAACTTTAGATCTTCATCTTTTAAGAGTGGAGACACTAGCAGGAGTACATTTGTAATGAGCTCCATGGTAAATGTTGATGGCAGTTTTGCAAAGCCAAGAAGTGTAGGGATGCCCTACGTGAACCCCTATGAAGGGGTTTTTTGGTGGTGCTTTGGTTGGTTGGTTGGTCATTGGTTTTATTTCTGAGGTATAATTTGTATTGTCTCAAAGTTTGGTGACTTTGCCTTCACTATTTGATAGAATTTCTGAGCATCCTGAGTGAAGGGTAACTTTTCCAATAAGTCTTCGGTCCCTCTTGTTTCATCATCTCCGTTGCTTTGTGTAAGGTATAATTCTACTCTAATAAAATATAATTTTCCTTTTTCTCCTCCCCCACATTTTACTCATAAGACAAACTGCGGCGGGAGGGTAAGTAATGACTCTCAGAGCTGTCATTTGTAATCACTCTTATGCCCATCCATTGGATCACTTGTTTCTGTTCTGTTGCATTTTCACTTAATTTGCACTACCATTGCTGCTGCTTCACAAATGCATTGAGAGCATCATCCCATTTGCTGCAGAGCTTGGCCCTCATGGTGAAGTTGTGACTTCCCAGAGCTAGAAAGTCCCCAGTCTGTCAATGCAGTATTGCATGATTAAAGCTTTAAGTGCTTCTCAGTAATTATCTCAGCTTGCAGGGAAAAAAAACCCAAAACAACTGCAACCAAATGAAAAAAACTTCTACAAGGGTGTTTTTGCCTGAGGTTTGGTTTGTACACAGTGGGGGAAACCATGCTGAATAGCAAGGTTATTTGGTGGGGAGTTTGGACTTTGAGTAAGGTTAAATCTCTTTATCTAGATATGAAAGCCATGTCTGCTGTTGCTTTCTTGTTGCCAAAATGCAGCAAAGTTTGGTAGAGCTTTAACCCCATAAAAATCCAGCTGAAGTCAGCCACAGTGCTCTGAGCAGTGAAGGGAAGCAGGCTCAGAAAGGATTTTGTTTGGGGCTACTTAAGATGTAGGTCATGCAGGCAGTAACGAATATGAGTTGTGGTTTCTGATGTAAGTGGTCTGCTACAGCTGAGCCTCTTCCTATCAGCAACACTTGATTTTCCTGATACAGAATGGCTTTGCTCTCGCCCAGCAATAGAAACCAAAGAGATAATACTTCCTTGGAGGTGCCCTTTGGCCCGTCATCAGCAAAGCAGACAAAGTTTTTCATGAGAAGTGGGCAAACTGTGAACATTCATCAACTAGGAATGACCTAGGAAAGCAAGCAATAGTACAGGGGTTTGTGCTGACAAAGCCTTTTGTAGATCACAAGGGAAGGGTCAACAAGAGCATCCAGGAAGTGCATTCCTGCAACTAATGGTTAACTCCTTTCATAAGCTTGCTGGCTGTGTTTGGGGTAGGTCAGACCAATGTGGCTGAAACACAAAGATTTCAGAAATCTTTTTGAGAAGATGCTTAAGGAGGATTAGAAATGCTCCTCTAATTAACCTGGTAATGAATTATGAAGAGGAAAACAGTGTTCCAATTCTCTCACCCAGTGTTGGAAGGAAACTCAAGGGTCAGTGGCAACCTTGGTGTCATAAAGCCACCCAGAGATTGAGTTCAGTCCTTCTCTGAATATTAAATTTACTTTCTCTGTCACTGTAGAAGGCTGTTCAGGGACTTTGGTGCTTCCCTACTTCAGAAGCTTCTTCTAATACCCAGTCTAAGTTATTTCACAGCCAATTTCCACCCTTTGTATTTGTGACAGCTTTGTCCTTGAGCTTCAGGAGCTTTTCTGCTTTCCTGACATTTACTCTACTATTACGGAGAAGACCACAACTTTCTCTATTAGTTGCTTCTATAAATTCAAATCTCGCCTGGGCTGAACAGAAACCTCCTCTCTGGTGTTGCCCATGGGGCCACAATGTGCCAGCCCCTAAGGGCTTTCAGCATCCCTAATGCAGAACACAGCTGCCACCTACCGGCTGCCTATCAAGAAGCTGGAGCAGGCAGGAAGCGTGTAGTTAATAAAGAAATTGTCACCTATCTCAACTGAAGCCCATTCTTTCATGATTTATGGATAACAAGTTTTGATGGGAGAAGCTCATCCTGGGGCTGTGTTGTCTTCAAGCATCCTTGCCTGAGACACTTTGGTTCTTTGTTCCAAAAGCTTATTTTTGGTTTTAGGTCATGCAGATGAAAGGATATATTTTTATATTGAAATAATTAGGGGTTTTTGTTGTTGTTGTTGTTTCCTGGAATAATATTTGCAGCAGTGTACTTTTGTACACTTGTACTGGTCTCCTGAGAAATGAAAGGGGAGATTCAGCTTTCATAACATTAGTTGTCAAAAGTTAGCCTAGAGAAGGCAGATTGATTCATTTTTCATAGAATCATAGACTCATTTGAGTTGGAAAGAACTTTTAAAGATCATAGAATTGCAGAATGGCCTGGGTTAAAAAGGACCACAATGATCATCTAGTTTCAACCCCCTGCTATGTGCAGGGTCACCAACCAGCAGACCAGGCTGCCCAGAGCCACATCCAGCCTGGCCTTGAATGCCTCCAGGGATGGGGCATCCACAGCCTCCTTGGGCAACCTGTTCAGTGTGTCACCACCCTCTGAGTGAAGAACATCTGGTGGAACTTCCCTGCAGTGAACAAGGACATCTGCAGCTCAGTCATGTTGCTCAGAGCCTGGTGGTCATTAAGAGAGATGAACCACTTGGTTACCTTAAGATGGATCTCTGTTGACTTGCATGCTCTAGACAACAACTTTTAGACAATTAGGGGACGACATTTAGAAATTAGGGGATGACATCCTTACTCTCAGACTTGAGTTGGGATGTGTCCAAACCTCCTTACCTCAGAACTGATCTGAGTGAGAAGGCTAAGGCCTTGAGTTCTTTGTTGAGAAGCTCGAGAAAAATGGCTCCTGGAAGGGCAGAAATGAAAGCACATGGCATCACAAAGTGTTTTGATGCCAAAGGCTCAGGACAACTTCACTTATCTGTGTGCAGCAGAGAGCATGGTATGCACAAAAGGCATTTTCAAAATGACTAGAACGTGGGTTAGAAGAAGTATGTCTGGACTTCATGAATACCTTGTGTACAGACAGGATTTAAACTGCAGCATGGAGAGATTTGGTTAGATAAAGATGTAGTGAGGAACAGACTGCAGAGGAAGGTGTTAGCAGCTCTGCTGTGGATTTTTAAAAAGCGGTTAAATAGGTATCTGTCAGGAACAGTGTGGATCCAGCTGGCCCTGGTTTGAGGCAATGATCTCCAGGTCCTTCACATCTTTAGTTTCTTAGAACTTGTGCAGTGCACTAAATGTATATGGATGCATATTGGCTCTGGGGGTGCTTTTGCAAATATTAGCTTGACTTAGAACTATAAATCTTAACTGAGAACATCCAAAATATGAATTAAAGCTTGAATCCATCTAGTGCATGAGCAGGGCTGAGTCTGAACTAAATTGTATAGTTTGTTCCAGCTTTGCTCCAGGCTCCACCCTTCAAGCATCTTTGGCTTGTATATCACCTTCCATCCAGCTTTTGAAAAACATTGATTTTTCTTACTTCCACACTCCATCCAAACTGCCAAAGCCTCTCAGCTGGGGCTCACTGTCTCATAAAACTTCATGTGCTTCTCCTCCAGACATATACTGGTTCAATACTGGTGGCAGTAAACCCCTACCAGCTTCTACCCATCTATTCACCGGAGCAGATACGGCTGTACACCAACAAAAAGATTGGGGAAATGCCACCACACATCTTTGCGATTGCTGACAACTGCTACTTCAACATGCAGCGCAACAACAAGGATCAGTGTTGTATCATAAGGTGAGTTGGTAAATTTCCAAATGGAACATACACTGGAAAAGGCAGCTGGCTGATGAGGAACAGATAATCAAACATAATCGGGAATTAGAAAGAGCCAGTAGATACTCTATCCATATAATGTTAGTGTAGAGTTGGTCTCTGTTGTGCATTTCTAAAGTCAAAAATGCCATCTTGCAAGTAGCATCCTGCTTCTTGCCCTGGTTACCTTCTCCTCTTCCCTCAGTGAGACACAGGTTGATATTAGGAAAAACTTATTCTCTGAAAGAGTGGTTGGGCACTGGGACAGGCTGCCCAGGGGAGCAGTGGACTCACAGTCCCTGGGGGTTTTCAAGAAAGCAAGATGTGGTACTTAGTTACATGGTTTAGTGGGCAGTGCTGTTGGTAAGTGGATGGCAGGGCTGGATGAGCTTTAGAGTTCTTTTCCAACATTAATGGTTCTATGATTCTGTGTCTATGGGACCTGTGGCTGTCACCAAATGGCAGTATTTCAGATTCTGCTTTCTAGTGCATTTGTGTACTTCAAGATTTGTTGTAAATCTGCCCCTGTGCCACTGGCTCAAGGTGTGATGATCCTACCTGGAAAAGCACTGTCTGAAAGTGCTTCCTGTTGTTTTTGGTGACAACTGTACAATATTTGCTGGAGTGACCCACACCTAAAAGCCAAAGTTTGGCCACGTGAATTGGAATGTAAATCTGTATCCTGGCTGGAAGCTGTCCCATATTGTGTCCTAACATTTGGATATAACCAGTCTTTGGGGTGTTGGAAACTCATCCTTAGTGGTCTCATCCCACTTGTGCTAACAGAACAGGACTAGAGACATCAGTCCCTCTGGAGATAGAGAGAGGGAAGTTAGCAAAATGCAGAAAGACTTTCACCGATCTCATATTCTGTTGTCATTGCAGCGGTGAATCCGGGGCAGGGAAAACAGAAAGCACAAAACTGATTCTTCAGTTCCTGGCAGCAATCAGTGGTCAGCACTCCTGGATTGAGCAGCAGGTCCTGGAGGCAAATCCTATCTTGGAAGGTGAGGTCTCAAATGGTAGAGGCATTTTTCTGATGGCTAAAAATCAGACTTGAGAAATACAAAATGTGGTCAAACGTATGTAACCATTTGTTGAATTAAAAAGTGTTTTTGAAGTGAGAATAAATTTAAAAGAAAAAACAAAAACTCAGAAGCAGCAATGTAAGTGTTTGTTGAACCTGCATATTCTGGTTCAGACAGATCCTTTCTGTCTGAATTTATTTTTCTCAACAAAATTATCCTCTGATTTTGCCGAATTATCTGCGTAGTCTGGGATTTCAAAAACTGATGAGCAAAGCTGATGATGCCAGAGAATCTGTGGTAGCTCCATGCCTGGCAATGCTCAAGAGCAGGTTGGATGGCCCTGGGCAGCCTGAGCTGGGGGTGGCAACCAGTCTATTAAGGTCCATTCCAACACAAACCATTCTATGATTCTATGTAATAGGCAAAATTCTTTAGAAAATGTGCACCACTTCTTCCAATGTTACAGTTATAACTGTGTGCAGAGCGTTGGTACTACAAAAAGGTGTCATTCCGTTGATTTTTTATTTGTTTTATTTAAATGTAATTGCCAAAATCTCGTTCTTTGCTGGTACAGTAGAATGTGAGATTATATTGCTCAGAGCATCACAGACTACGAGCATGGGCTGGCAGTACTCCATGGTCCTGCTGGAACAGGTTGCCTTGGCAAACTGTGGATTCCCCATCCCTGGAGGTATTCAAGACCAGGTTGGATGGAGCCCTGGGCAACCTGGTCTATAACCAGACCTGGAGGTTGGTGGCCTTGCCTGTGGCAGGGGGTTTGGAACTTGATGATCCTTGGAATCCCTTCCAACCCAAGCTATTCTATGATTCCATTATTCTATGATTCTATGAATAGCAAAGCCCTCCATTTTCTTCCAGTGTCAGAGAATGGAGGCAGAACACAGAAAAAGAAATAAAGAATGAGATAACAATAATCAACTTGTTGGCTATCCCAGATGCATAAGCAAGCATCTGTTAGGGTAAAAAACAGCTCCACAGTTTTAACTGGATGTCCAAACATTAAATAGTTGGTCTGAACCTCCAGGCATACTGCTACATGGAACTTTTCAGCACAGAGAGAAGTATTTTCTTCCTCTCTTCATTAAAGAATAATGAGATTTTAATCTACCTGCTAGTTCCAGTGAGCAGTGTTTGCTTGGTAGGTAGCCCCATAGGAATCAATGGAAATGTGAATATCCTGACAGCTTTCCATGAATAATGCGAGCAGTGCAAACAAGCAAGTTACCAGCTGAGCTTTCCTTCTCTGCTCTCCTCTGGAGAATCCTTCAGTCCAGTATGAAGATGCAACAAGATTGCTCAGGGATGCATGCCATGCACATGTGGGATTTGAACGTACATTTCACCAGGAAAACAGACATTTTGTATTTCAAATGCATCTCCAGCACCTGGCAGCAATTCCAGAGCAAACAAACACCAGGGCACGCTTCCTATGCCCACACAGAGGATAGAACTGCACTTTGTTGTGCCCACACCTTTCCCTGCACGTGGCCTGCTTTCAGGGCAGAGTCTCCCTCTGGAGGTTGGCTTGGTTCCTCTTTATTTCCTGAAAGGATGGTCTCTTTCCATCTATCAACAAATCAATCACCAACATCCCTGTCTTTTCCCACACTATCACCTTGCATACTGTGGAATCCTCCTGTGTGCCTTGCTCTGCCCTTCTGTATTTCAGCAGCTGCTGACCGGACCCTGCGGTTGTCTCCCATTTTCCTGGATAAGTTCACTCTGTTTCCATTCCTCCTTCTTGATCATAGAATCATAGAATGGGCTGGGTTGAAAAGGACCACAATGATCATCGAGTTTCAACCCCCCTTCTATGTGCAAGGTCACCAACCACTAGATCAGGCTGCCCAGAGACATTGATATTCCTCTCCTTTTTCTGAATAGTTATGTGTGGAATATCCTGTCCCCCCACACTGAAACTGAACCAGGCAAACTACAAGAAAAGGCTTTGGGCTGCTTTCTACCCTCTTTTGTTTGTTTTTCCTAGACAGTGGGCTCAGGAGAACCTCATGAGGTTCAACAAAACAAGTGCAAGCTCAGCTCCTGGGTCATGGCAACCCCCACTGTCAATATGAGCTGAGGGACAAAAGGATGGAGCACACAGCCCTGCTGAGAAGGACTTGGGAGTACTGGTGGATGACAGTTGGACATGAGCCAGAAATGTGCTGGGGAGGTGTAGATTGGATATAAGGAAAAAGTTTATTACAATAAGGGTGGTGAGGCACCAAAATATGTTGCCCTGAGGTGTGGTGTATGTCACATCCCTGGAGACACCCAAGGTCAGGCTGGATGGGGCTCTGAGCAGCTGGTGGAGCTGTAGGTGTCTCTGTTCATTGCAGGAGAGTCAGACTATATGATCTCTAAGGTTTCCTTCCAATTAAAACAGTTCTAAGATTCTATAATTCTGATGCCGGTTTCACAATCTTTCCCATGTCGGGTCCTCTCTGACCCATTCCAATTCTTCCCTGCAGCTTTTGGGAATGCAAAGACGATCCGTAATGACAACTCCAGCCGATTTGGGAAGTACATTGACATCCACTTCAACAAAAGGGGAGCCATTGAGGGAGCCAAGATTGAGCAGTACCTGCTGGAGAAGTCCCGGGTCTGCAGACAGGTAAGGTGACATATCCGCAAAGCATGAGAGTGGGTCCATTGACATTTGCACTGACATTATCAGAAGAGCTGATGGTTGCTCTTCTTCTGCAGGCCCAGGACGAGAGGAATTACCACGTGTTCTACTGCATGCTGAGAGGAATGACAATGGAGCAGAAGAAGAAGCTGGGTCTTGGGAAAGCCACAGACTACAACTATCTTGCAATGGTGAGGGTGCAGAGAAGTGAAGGTTTGGAGGGATGAGATGGTGTGAGCTTCTTAGCAAGGGAGAGAGAAGTGGAAGCTTTTCCTCCAGGAGACTATTTTGCTGGTTATAACCTTCTTGAGTCTTGAGTCACCAAATAATGAGAATTATTTGTCCCAGCACTTCAATCTTAGGATGAACCTTTAACCCCTTTGCATTAGGCAGGTTACATCCTCTATTTCTGTCAGATGATCGGGGTGTTTTTTCCTCAGGTCACTTGTTTGGGCATAGCTAGGATGCTAGATACAAACCAATGCTCTTGGAGAAACGATGGAAGGGGATGAATGTGTGACTGGCAGCCACCACACACACACATAACAGCAATTTATTCTCACCTCAATGAGCTTTTTCTTTGATTGATTCTCTTGAGTGCTTAAAGGGAGCCTACAAGAAAGTTGGAGAGAGACTTTATCAGAGATTATAGTGATAGGAGAAGGTGTAATGGGTATGAATTAAGAGTGCAGACATACATTAGATATAAGGAGGAAATTTTTCATTCGTAGGGTAGTGAGGCCCTAACACATGCTGCCTGGAGGAGCTGTGGAAACCCTGGCAGTGCTCAAGGTTGGCTGGGGCTTTGGTCGCCTGGTCTATGGAAGGTGACCCTGACCGTGGTAGGGGTTGGGACTGAATGGGCTCTAAGGTCACTTCCAACTCAAACCATTCTATGATTCTATGACGCAGGGTGGCTAGGGACAGTAGGGCAGTGCAATTCACAGGACTGAGAACCAAATCATAGCCTACACCAAAAGGTAGAACCAGACCAACAGGTTCATCTCATTTATTCCTTAGGCAAAACTTCTGCCTAACTAGGGCTGATGTGGCTGTTTGTTTGTTTGTTTGTTTTTGCTTTTTCAGCAAAGCCCTGTTAGCTTAAAGTTGCACCAATCTGTGCCAAATTCACTCATCTTTACCCCATGCAACATCCTTGCCTCCCCAGGGTAATTGCACAACCTGCGATGGCAGAGATGACAGCAAGGAATACGCCAACATCCGCTCTGCCATGAAGGTCCTTATGTTCACTGACACAGAAAACTGGGAGATCTCCAAGCTGCTGGCTGCCATCCTGCACATGGGGAACCTGAAGTATGAAGGTAAAAGGACAAAATGCAAGGGTGTGTTCCAGCATGCTTTTCCTCCTTATTCTGCACAGTGAGATGGAGCCAAGGTAACGCACCATATCTAGACCACCTGCCATGATACTGTTTTAAGGATTCAGCTGTTTATTGTGATTTGTAAGGACACTTGATATTATTGTAATCTGTAAGGACAAGAATGGAGGAATAAATCCACCTGCCCACTCTGCAGGGCTGCCAGACTCTGGTGCACACAGTGCAGACAGGCAGTCATGTTCAGCCATCTTCACTAGGACCCAATACATGTCATCTCCACCTTGCTGTGTCTGTTCCATCAGCATGGGGCTGGCAGCCCTTTAAGGCTGTGACATTCACCTCTTCTGAATTAGGGAATTTGGATATGACCATAGATCATTCAGCAAATCCAGATTTGGCAAGGAGAGACCAACAGTGTGGTCAAGAAGTGCCTAGGTTGTTTGATAAGTCTTTGTAAAAGTTCCAAGCTGCTCTGATGTCATTTCCATATGGTTAGTATGGAAAACAGAAGCCACACTTACATCCTAGAAATTTTGTCATCCCATAAGCCGCTGAATACAAGTCTGTTGCTGGCAGCAGCAGATCTCCAGCAGCTGCCTTAACTTTTGTCTCCCCACTAATGGTTAGATTTTACTTGGCCACCAAGATGAGGCACTGAGGAGAGACCCTTTTCCTCTCCCATTATCTTCTGCAGAGCTGCATCCCTTGCTGACTGCTTTCCCTGTGCTTCTCTTCCCCCAGCTCGGACCTATGACAACCTGGATGCTTGTGAGGTTGTGCAGTCAGCGTCACTGATCACTGCAGCATCATTGCTGGAGGTCAGTGTCTCTGTAGTGGTGAGTGGTATTGTCCTTTTTTTGGTTTGTTCCTGCATTCTCAGTGTTGTGGAAAGGCTTGGAAAGCTTTGTCTGAGCCAGGATGTCTTTGCCCCTCCAGCTCTAGGAGGCTGTGTAAGCTATACTTGGCACTGGCAGTATGGAGGATGTCTCCATCTGAGCTCCCCTTCACATGAGTGGAGAGGAACAGACATTGTAGTGGCACATAGTCCTAAGAAAGACACCCCAGAGAGTCCCTGAAATAGCCTGTTTCTCTCATTGATGAAAGATCATTATGGGCAGTCAAGAAAGATACACACCTATCTGTATGTGTCTGGTGAGGTGAGGTGATCCTCACCCAGCCACCCATAAAGGGAATGGAGTGCTCCTCTGTGCTTCCCCATCACAAATCGAGGCTCCCTCCCTCCCACACTCATCACTGTGGCCCCAGAGTGTTACCCACAGCCATCTTCAGGCTTCATGAACTTTATGAACTGGATGTTTCTCTTGCATGATCTCAAGTCTACAAAAAGCTGACAAGATGCAAAGCTACATTGATGCTGGCAGGCTTTGCAGGCTTTCCTTTTTCATCTCCATTCCCCACACCTTGTTAGCATCTCTCACTATGTCACAAAGAACACTTTTCATAGTAAAACATTATATTAATTAATCTTTCTGAAAGTGCCTGTGACATCATTTGAGATCTGTGAAATGATGCTTACCTCCAGTTATGAGGATCTGCACAGTTCTTTTCCAGCCATTTATACTCAAGCTATGGTAAGGAACTCTTCACCTATAAAGTCAGCAGCTGTGTTTGGTGGTACGTTTGCCAGGTTGAGCCTCAGGATGTGATGAACTGCCTCACCAGCCGAACTATAATCACCAGAGGTGAGACTGTCTCAACTCCTCTCAGCATGGAACAAGCACTGGATGTGAGGGACGCTTTTGTAAAGGTAAATCTTGGGGTATTCCTTCCTGTTCCCACGATGAAGCAATTTGTCAGTTTTGAGACCAGAGCATCCACTGCATGGGAAGAGTGAGCTTCAGGAATAGATCCTCAGCTACTCAGAGCAACACTTGCAACCCCTGCAGCACCCACACCTGAGTTCCAAGATTTTGACATGCTTAGATCAGTGAAATTGTGCTAGTAAATAAAACATGTTGACAGGGACAGAGCTGTTCAGCTGTCACCAAAGCACTTAGAGAGAGCATCACCCGAGGCTCTTAGGTGATGGAGGTTAATAGGTTGTGTATGCATCGCTGTTTGCAGTCCCATGTAATGTTACAAAACATGCATAAATAGCTCATTACAAATTCTGCTCTGGTCTTTGTTGGCCTCATTAGGCATGATATCCTAGGCTTGCCTAATAATGTAGCGTGGCTCTGCTGACCCACAGAAAAAGAAACCAGGGGAAACATGAGCTGGGGTTAGAGTATGCATATAGTAAAGTATCAAAATTTGAGATTTTGCTTTAGGTTTTCTTTGGTCTAGGCTTTCAAGTCCACTGTCCTTGATCTACACAGTGGCTCTTGCAGCTTTAAAACATGTCAAAAGTCTAGCATATTCTTCCTTGGGAGTGGTCCAGTTGCTGGTTGTGCTCTAGGGATTTCTGTGCCATCAAGGAGGAGTGATGCCACAGACTATCAGGGTGAACTTCTAACTTGTCTCAGTAAGCTCTGCATTTGGGATATTGCAGGGAATTTATGGGCGGCTCTTTGTGTGGATCGTGGAGAAGATCAACGCTGCAATTTACAGACCTCCTTCACAGGAACTCAAAAGTGTTAGAAGATCCATCGGCCTCCTTGACATCTTTGGCTTTGAGAACTTCACTGTGAACAGGTATGGAGCCTGTAGAAGGTGACCCAGGTCTTAACCCTCATTCACCAACCCAAACTAATGTCTTGCAGTTCTTTCATCTCCCCTGGGATGAACAGGACTCTGTTGGTCCTGACCTATTTCTGCATAAGAGATTATCAGAATTAATCATTTTTTATGTTGCAGAAGACAAGATACTTCCATTATTTGTTTAATTATTGTCCAAAATGTATCCACAGGAGATGACCTCCAACTAATTTGTTTAAGCTACATACATACAACAGTGGTGACATCGTTTTGGGGGAGAAAAACTGATTAGCTGGACCAATGTGGTGATTTTTAGCCAACAGCAACCTTACGAAGTGATTGACAAGACCTGAAGATATTGCTTCAAGCGTTGGAGAGTAATGGAGAAATAAAGACTATGATGGATCTAAACTGACCTTTCCTTCAATTTCTGTCCACAGTTTTGAGCAGCTGTGCATCAACTTTGCAAATGAGAACTTGCAGCAGTTCTTTGTGCGTCACGTTTTCAAACTGGAGCAGGAGGAGTACAACCTGGAGAACATCAACTGGCAGCACATCGAGTTCACTGATAACCAGGATGCTTTGGATATGATTGCCATCAAACCCATGAACATCATCTCTCTCATTGATGAGGAGAGCAAGTTCCCCAAGGTGTGTTTTGGGCTCAGCCTTCCTTCCAGTGACTCTGCTGGTTTTACCCTCTTTATATTTTCATAATGGCACTCCATGAGAGGTCTAATCAGCCCTAAATCAGGCACCAGGGAAAATAAAACATGCATTTACTAGTCAGTTATCTACTCATAGCTTTCATTATTCCATTAGTATCACGACCATGCTTAAGACAAATTAACATTTCTGATGGAATAATACACCTGTAAAGGCTCTAGGATGGCTTTTGACTGAGAGTTTAAGAAAAAAATATTGTTAAATATACTCACTCCTGACTAGTTTGAACACAGCACAGAACACCATATTTTTTTTTTGCTTTGTTTTCTCCATTTGAGATATCCCTTCCAACCCATCTCTTGTCAAAACAAATGCACATTGTCCCCTGAGGGAAAAAAAAAAAAAAAATGCACTATTGATTGGAAAATTACTGTCATGGGACAAACCTTGGTTAAATGGGTGACCTTTTCCTATGTGCACAGGGTACAGATGCCACGATGTTACACAAGCTGAACTCCCAGCACAAGCTGAACACCAACTACATTCCTCCAAAGAATAACTATGAAACCCAGTTTGGCATTAATCATTTTGCTGGAATAGTTTACTACGAAACAAAAGGTATGGGCCCTTGGGGGACTGCAGGTGTTAGGGAATGCTCGGGGAAGATGAGATATTGCTGCAATGAAGCAGAATTGGATGGCAGTCAGTACTAGTGTCAGTGTTCTCCTTTTCTGGCAGCCATGGTCTTTCAGCAGTGCCCGTAATCTGCAGAGCTTTGAGCTCTGTGTCCCCAGGAGAAAACTGCAGTGCTTTTCATCATTACTGTTTTTGATCTGGTCTCAAGATGTGTCTCGTCTTCTTCCTCTCTGCTCACTCCACCGTTTTTGCTTAGTCTTTCCTAATGAAATCCACTCAGGTCCATCCCAAGCTACGGCTCTGTCAGGATATTTAATTGTCCTGGGCTCTGGGATAACCTGCATTGAATTTTTCACACATGAGCTCTGCAAGCTCTGTTTCATTGCGCAGCACAGCATGTCCTTAACCCTTAAGCAGTTCCATACAAATGAAGGGCACATTTTCATTACAGTTTCTTGCTTTTGTGCACCTCTCATTACCTCCAAAGAGAAGCCAGTAGCCCAGCAACCCAGAGGCTGTATACAAGCCACCTGTTGGCCATCTCACCTTATGTGATCGACCTATGTGTTGTCCTATTATCCTTCAGGTTTCTTGGAAAAAAACAGGGACACATTGCATGGAGACATCATTCAGCTGGTGCATTCGTCAAAAAACAAGTTCATCAAACAGATTTTCCAAGCAGATGTGGCGATGGTAAGGCATGCAGCAGGTGGGAGAAGATCTTTATTTACAGGGAGAGTTTTCTTTGAAAGGGTGGAGGAATTGCAAAGGGTCTTACTGCTTGGGTGCTCTTTGGGGTGTTTCAAACCTATTAGTAAGAGCCAAAAACCACAAAGTATGAATGTGGTACAACCACATTCACACTCCCAGGTCACACAGTTCAGTTCTTAAAAGACTGTTTCGTTCTGTGATTTGCTCTTCTATTAATTGTATAGGGATGAGAACAATGGGGTTTTTGATTGTAGAAATCTGAGAAAGACCAGCCCTTACTGTTGAATAGTCCAAATCTTCATATAATAGAGTGAGAGATGGAAACCGAATAACTGCTCTGAATGAGTTGAATATCGAGGATGCTGGGTTAAGACTTTCCAAAGTAATCACATTTTTCAGGTGTTGATGTCTTGTTTCCAAACATCAGTCAATGCCACTGATGGTACAAGGGACTTAGGGACTTTCAGGAATGCCAAACAGATTTAAGTGCTGAATATGATGGACTCTGAAGGAAAATTAATGTTTAGATTCCAAATAAATTTCTTAAAATGGGCTACAGGTTCTTTTGTAAGGCTTATACAAAACACGGCCACTCAGCTTTGCTCCTTCTGCAGTGAATAACTGATATCACTTTGACTTTATTAGGAATGAGATAAGGTTTATCAGCCCACTCAAGCTACCACTTGGCGTGACACTGTCCCCACAAGTGGATGCTCCTGCTGAACTAGATGCTAACTCCCTTAGCATCAGTGATGCTACCCTCTTTGCTTTTTATTGCTTGTTCCTCAATGCTTTTTGTTTTCAGTGCAAGATTTGCAGCTCACCTTGGAAATGATTTCTTGCTTGTTTGGGTAGAACAGACATAATGTTTGCTCTGGGGAATTGATAAGAGGGAGCTCTCAGGTTTATGTAGTTGTGCAGACTTAGTCATGGGAACACCTACTGAGCTGCTGTCTTTAAAAGATGCTCTCAGTATGGCAAGCCAAACTGAGATGCCTGCTAGGGCATTGTCTATGATTTGAGAACTGAGACATTTTAAACCATCAGAGCAAGTTGTCATTAAACACTATCAGAATCTGTCCTGAATGGTGATCCCTCTGCCCATGATGTTTAATTATCTCTGCTTTTCTTTTCTGAATAAGGGATTTGTAGTCTGATACGGAATTGGGAAGGGAGTAAAAATTCTGTCATAGGTTGTCTAATCATGCACCATATTAGCATGAACTGAGAGAATATGAATCCCCTAAACATGCAAACAAAATCTGCAAAGAAAAGAAGGATGGTGTAGGAGATGACTTTGTCATTGCCTCTCACAAAAATTCAGCCATCTTTGCAGCCTCTTTCTTCAAAGACATCTCCTAAAAGAAGGAGTAAGTAGGTAAGCACAGGTTATAGGAGTGCATGCAGCAGTGAGCTGGGAAAATATTCTGTTTAGAGGTCTGCAATTTTTTTTTTGAGCATCAGGAGGACTTTCTTCCTGAGAAAGTCTGGCCAAGTCAATCAAAGACAATCTAAGAATATTTCCACCAAAGAAAAGACCAGTGGCCACTCTGGTGAGAGCTAAATTAGGCTTTTGTCCTCAGGAACTTCTCAGTGAGCTCGTAGGATTTGGTGAAAAGCAAATCTGTATCTAGTTTCTGTCATTCCAACTTCAAATGTGTTCTTTATGTGCCAGAAAATTGAAGGAGCCACTGGTCAAGAAAGTTTCAAAACCAACCTAAAGCATATGTTTGAATATGTTTGAATGACCTAACCTTTGTGCACACCAAATCCTGTGTGGGGGAAACCAGGTATTGCTGGACCACACAGGGCTGAGCTTTGTTCTTGGGTGCCCATTGTGGAGGAAGTCTGTCTGCATGCACTGACTGAATTGAAACATTGCTTTGAGCACTGTCAAGTGAAATGACACATTCAGTGGGAATTGTACATGGTTTCTCAGAGGAATCAACATGGCCCATAGCCATCATGGTCTGACAGTCCTGCATGCTCCACTTGCAGATAGAGCAGGAAAGGTGGAAATCAAAGATGGAATATTGATGAAGGGGAAAAGAAAGAGCAGATCTGGGTGCTTTTCCCTCAGTGAAAAGTTTATTTCTGTAGAATCTATATGACTAGAATCTGGGGACGAAGAGAGCAATATCTTTAGGATTCTTGTGAGTTTTTTTTTTTATTTTTGATGGTATCTTGCAACTGGTCAGAGGAGAGCAGGGATTTGCAAGGCAGAGGACTGGGGAAGGCTGAAACTGAATGGTAACAAGTGAGTTATTTCTAAGAGGCAAGAGCTGGACAGCAGTGGTTCCCTCAGGTTCAAGGATGTGAACGTTAAGAGAAAAGGGAAAACTCAGGATGAGGATCTACAAAAATCTACGAATTAGCATATTTTGTTGATGGGGTGTTTCAACACCTCCAAGACTAACAATGTCGGGCTCCTAGTTTGGTTATTCCTTCTTTTCACTGTTTGCTCTTTTCTGTCTCTGTTCTTTTTGTTGTTTGTTTGTTTGTTTGTTTTACCTGTGCTTCATGTAGTTTCTCTGTGGCTATGCATCCAGCACTTTTGGCCAGTCGCCCACACCCACGCCAAAGGTAAACTGAATACATGAGTTTCTCTGCTGTATGTTCACCTCTCCTTGGCAAAGATTGTGCTTTTCTCTTGTTGGTCTGTTGCTCTCCCTGTGTTCTCTATAGACAATCCATTTCAAGCGTTGGTGTGACAAAGAGCTTTTTTAGTGCTTGCTGACTATGTACAGAAGTATGAATCATTTATTTCAAATATATAAATTTAACTCAGAGGAGATTTATCACAATGGGAGTTTGGTTTGGATAAAATCAGAACCAGCCTGAGACAAAGTTTTGGATTTGGATTTTTGTTTGTTTGTTTGTTTTGTTGATGGTTTTTTTTTCCTTTTTTTTTTTTTTTTTTTTCCCTGATATTTGAATCCTTTTATTTAACTTCAGATTGACCACCTGTGGGATTTGGTTGATGTTTATCATGTTGCTAACATTGGCTTCAGTGGGACATTACACCTCAGTGCAATGGCAAATCTGGCTCTGTTTTGCACAGGGGGGGCAGGAAGCTGATGGTTCATGCACAGAGACTCTTGGATTGCATTATGGGATTGCTTGGAAATGTTATCATTTTCAGGGACATTTCATGCCTTGTGATAGTTCAAATTCAATTCTTCAAAGGTGCAGTTAATATTGAACTTTTCCATGCTCATCCAAACAGGCTCTTGTCACCTGTTTTAGGTCTTTTCTGTTGTACCTCACCTCCTGACTGGTTCTGATGGCTTCCCAAACCTTTTGTGCTAGATGTTTGACCATAGAGTATTGTGTGCTAATGGTTTTGTGACATCAGCTTTGTGACTCTGCCTACATTTCCATGACAGCCCTCTAATAGCCAAGGAATTATGTTAGAGATGGACCTGGCTTTCAAAATTCAGATCCTTGCATGGGCTGAATTTCAACACTTCTTACTTCCACGTTGTTTCAGTATGTTTGTATTTGGAATTCCAATGAGGATGACCTAACCCAAAATGAATCAAAGCCATTCATTCCAAAGCTGAATTCCTTCCCCTCCATATCATGATTGAAAAGTGTTTGGGAGCAGCATCTTGTTGAGCCCTGTTCTAAGGCTGTGGCAGTGCCACATACCAAAAGAAAAAATTATTCCTGAGTTAAGATATGGTGAAGTAAAGCACAGGAGAGAATTGTGCAAAATCCATCAGAAATGCCCATGTCAGTCTTTTTCTTTGATGACAACGTGAGATACAGGGAAATGGGAGAAATAACACTGATGATTTCTGAGAGTCTTGTTGTCATTACAGTTCTCATAATGTAGCCTAGTGTTTTGTAAATTTTCTAATAAAGAATTGATCATGTTTGGTAAGCACTGAGGCAAGGGAAAAACAACAGTTACAACAGTAACTTGTAGAAAATGGAGCCTTAGTTCAAAAGAGTAATACTCAGAACTGTTATTTATCCCATGTCAGCTTTGCATCTCAAGGCAGTTTCCAGATTGCACACCCTTTAGGACAGACACTGTCTCTTCACTATATGCTACCTCAAAACCTGCTATGAAGTGGCCCCAATTTTCAGTGGTCACCTAGAGGCGACCCCAGTGACATTTCCCACAGCAAACAGTGAGCATCAGTGTCCTCAGACTTGACAAAAATAAAAGGCTAAAGCACATGCCATTTTGGCATGGCTCAGGGCTGCAACCATAGTATCATTAAGGTTGGAAAAGACCTCTGAGATGACAGAATTCAACTCCAACCCTTTCCACCATGCCCACTTACCATATTCCTCAGTGCCACATCTCCACAGTTCTTTAACACCTGTAGGGATGGTGACTCCACCACCTCCCTGAGCAGCCTGTTCCAAGGCCTCACCACTCTTTCTTTATGAGAAGAATTTACCCAGCACGTGTGAATCTTGCTTATCCTTCCCCATTACACAAATCTCAACCTCCTTGAGCTAGGCTATCTATGGACACTGATCAAGAAACAATGTCTGTCCCAAAGATGCTACTATAGGAGTTTGAAAGCTAGGACCTATCTGGCCAGGAGAAAAGTAGAATGTATTCAGCCCTTTATCCTTCAGTTTGTTGGGACTGTGTCTATTTTGAGCTAAAAAAGTTCTTCCTCCACAGCACAGTTTATATTTTCAGTGCTTCACATTGTTGGCAGACTGCTCCACTTACTTTTTTGGCCATTTTGTTGAAATGACAAAGGAGATGTGATTGTCCCCACACTGGTGTTTAGTTGAGGCAGGAGGAACAATGACTTCAGCATTGTCATCCTGTCCATGCAGGAAGAAGTTGATGAAAAACTCTTGCCTGAGGTTTCATTGTGTAGCTGAGAGCCCAGTTAGTGCCCATGGAGCTGGTGCCCACCATGGAAGGGTCAGTGTGAAATGTCAGAGATGCAGGGGACATCCATCCATTCATGTCCCAGATCCATGTGAATGGATGATGCCTTCTTGACAGGAGAAGCCTGGAGCTCTCTAATGATTTGAATAAGAATTCAAATTCTGGCCAAATTTTGTCCAGGTTCTGGCCAATGTTCCTTCTCTCCTGTCATTCCCATCAAAAGGCTCTTAGGATGCAAATAACACCACTGCCTTACACCAGAGCTGGATGCGTGCAAGGAAGAACTGCAAGGCACCAGCAAGGCAGAATCTGCTGTCTGCTGGTAAACCACTCTTTCATTCCCATATTGGGGACCCTTGTATGAAGTCTTGCACCCTTCCAACCACAACAGCTGACAAATGACCTCTCCCAGCTAAACCCAAATCAGCAACTGCTTCCAACTCCCAGCTGTGCTCCTGCATCTGTTGCTGCTTCTTGTGACTGTCATTTCATATTGCATGAAGGTGACCCCTTACACAGAATGAGCAAAGTGCTAAGAAAGCAGCCACCAAAATTATCCAAACTAGGATTCTTGCTAACACAGCCTATTCCTCATCAAATCTGTGATGGAATGCGAGCATCGAACTTTATGCTGCTCTGCAGGTAGCAGCTGCATCCATTAATTACCTTAGGTTTGTTAATAATTTGTCCTTCAATGGAGAATTTTGCTGGGAGAGATCACTTGGTGACCCCCCCAAGCTCTCTTGGCCAAGACAAGCAGGTTTTTCTGGTGTGTGCATGAGCTGGGTTTTCTCTGCTCACGTTGTCTTGTTGGAATTCCATGATGACTTTGTGTTTGTGCTGATTGGGTTTGTCCTGTTATTGTGTCCAACCTGAGCTCTGGAAGTGCCTCATTTTTGGGGGTTGGGGATGTTGTCTGCTGTAAGATGAAGCACACATAAGGATTTTAGCAAAAGAAGTCAAAATAAAACTTACCACCTTGTAAAACAGAGGGGCAAGGTCAGTGCAGTTGGAGACTTTGTGGCTCCACACCATGGCTTGGCCACCTGCAAAGAAGAGGATGTTTGGAGGAAACATGCATGAAAATCCTGCTGGAATCCTCCCTTTGGGAATTCCATGGCCATCAGGTCATATCACAGGCCATGTCACAGTGTGTCCTATTTTCAGTCCAGAGGGAGTTGTAATGTGGGGCCTGCCTCTTCCTCCTCCAACCCATCAGCAGCACCTGCTGCCCTACAAATGCTCCCTGGACACCAGACCACTGTGTCTGATGTTTGACATGCTATGGTAGTAGCAAAAAGAAAGCCAGTGGCTTCATTTAGTTTGGAGGAGTGTTCTCCCACAACAAAGAAAGGGCTATTGAGAGAAAACTTTCCATTCTTCTTTAGAAATACTTGCCCAAACCTCTAGGTGAGATTATTAATTTCACCAATGGAGCTAAGACTACCAAAATACTCAAAATCATCCTAGAAGAACAGTGATAGCAAGGTTGGCTGTACTGTACCCATCCTCGAAGGCCAGGTTGAATGGTGTGCTGGGCAGTCTGACCTGGTGGTTGGCAACCAGCCCGTGGCAGAGAGTTGGAAATGGATGATCTTTAAGGTCCCTTCCAATCTAAGCTATTCTGTGATGTACAGGATGGGGAAACCCAAGCATCTCCTGAGTAATGCATTGCCCCAGGTTCCAATAGGGAAATTGCTGAAGACCTAAAAGGGGCTGTTTGCTCTCACAAACCAATCTTCTTTATAGCTTTGCACAAGATGCTTGGGAATGTGAGTCAGACAGAGAGGCTTAAGCAGGACAAATTACATTCCAGTACTATTCCACCTTTGGATGAGGCACACGGGGCAAATTGCAGGTTGTCCATCCAATACAAAAGAGAAAAATTCAGGTGCCCCATGTCCAAGCCCTTTCCCCACATCTTCCACCTCCATCTCAGCCCTGAGGCCTTCACTCCCACCTCCAGCTGCAGCAGGAGTCTCATGGGATTGTGGCTGGAGGGGAAGGGCACTGTTATCCTTTCATTTCCTGAGCCTGCTCTGCTGTGGTTTTGCAGGGAGCGGAGACGAGGAAGCGCTCACCGACTCTCAGCAGCCAGTTCAAGCGCTCCCTGGAGCTGTTGATGAGGACTCTCAGTGTCTGCCAGCCCTTTTTTGTCCGCTGCATCAAGCCCAATGAGTACAAGAAGCCCATGGTAAGTTCTGCTTTTC